ATGACTTTCTTCTTTCAGACGAATACAATCAGAGTTATATAAAAAAATGTCCTGGCTCTTTCAAGTTTTATAATGGCAATGAATAGTGGTCGAGATTTTGAGGACCAAAAAAGTGCATCCATCCATCATTAAAAGTGCTCCACATGGCTCCAGGGGGTTAATAAAGGTCTTCTGAAGCTAAGGATTTCGTTATAAGCCAAGAGGAGACTGGAAGCTAGAGATTATGGTTTATAAAGGTTTAAATTTGGATATTTTTCCTACACAAATGCATCGCTTCGCTTCAGAAGGCCTTTATTAAGGTGGAGTACTTTTTATGATGGATGGATGCACTTTTTTGGGCTTCAAAATCTCAACCACCATTCACTGCCATTATAAAGCTTGGAAGAGCCAGGACATTTTTTGATATAATTCCGATTGCATGTTGTCCGATGTTGACAGAGAAACATGCCTTACTTTACAAAATCTCAGTCAGCCATGGGTACACACACTTACAGGCGGTATCTTTCCCAACTTCTGTTCATCCTCCTCTACTGAAGTGGGAGTAAGTGCCGGGGTCCTCCTGAGCACGCTCAACCCTCCTGTTCGTCTTGGGCCGCCCTGGTTGGAATTCTGTCCATGTGTCTCCCCCTGGGTTAGGTCCGATTCTCCACCCGACAGGCTGAGAGAGGTTTCATTGGACACACGGACCCTGAGGCTGCGTTTAAAGCGATGGCGTTTGTGCGAGGCGGTTCTGCTGGGCTGGGGAGGCTGAAGGAACAGGGGGTTGACGAAACATGGGCTGATCAATCTGAATGTCCTGTGGGGCGCTGAAGGCGGAGGGGGGCCATTTGGAAGGCCAGGAGACATCTGAGAGCTCCAGAACTCTGAAAAAGCCATGGAAGGTTGCAAAGAGTGGAACTGAGATGTATTTCTTAGGAATTTTAGAGCAGTTATGCCATATTCCAGTATCTATCGAAAATAAAGCTTTCAATGTACCATGAAAACATAACATCTTTTTGCAATATCTATTCAGATAATCATGACTTGTCCTGTTATGATTTGGTAATAAGGATGCGATTTGGCATGCTAGTTGGAATTGCTTAGCCATGTGGTATTTCTTAGTTGGTAACTAACAGTAAGGGTAAGGTGTTGGGAAAGTTTTCCAAATGTTGTCGAGTCACTCTTTCTCCCAGCACCAAACAATTATCCCTGAGTTTGAGCAGTGCATTTCAGCACTATTTTAACAGTATATTTCAACAGATTTTGCGATCCTGTCAAAAGGAAATGCTAGCTTTGCAAAGAGGCAGTTATTGAAGGATGGATGGGATAATTAAAAACTATAGAGGACAAAACTGCACACCCGCAGGTGTGCATAAGCACAGAAAAGCGCTGCAGCTGGTAGCAAGAGGGTGTTAAGGATGCTAAGTGGGTGTTTATATACAGTATAAGTGCAAAAATGGCTAGTTTAGTTTTAAAGGTCAAAAAGAGGGGTGGAAACGGTCGTGAAAACATGTATTCTTACCTAAACCCAAATGCGAAATGTTTTCCAGCTGGGTGTGTGTTGTGGCCTGTATAATTGCATCTGGGAGCTCAAGTGGGAAAGGCAATACATCTCTGTTGAACACATACACAAAGAGCAGAAATGACATAATACATTATAGCTCAATCTACATGAATCATTTTCCTATAATGTTTGATGTTTGTTACCTGCTGACGGTGTAAAATGCCACTAGTCTGCAGAGATCAGGGAAGCTCAGGGCAGAACTTTCTAGAGAAAATGCTAAACGGTGAAAAAGAAGATGCACTAATTTAAGATAGAAAACTGCTACCAAGCATAAAATCAGGCTTTATTTTGATAATGTAATTGTGCGAGCTTGTCTTATTGGGGAGTACCAAATAAAATGCATGTCAGGTAGACATGCATAGACAAAATAATCCCTTATATTGCATATTAAAATAAAAAAAATGTAGGATTTGAATTAGTCTATAGTAACTATAATTTGCTTAACAATAATAGAAGCTCCCCAGCACAATATAACAACAAAAAAACATTACGGGGGACCAAAGGCTTTTTGTAAGTTTTAGGCGATAGAAAATACCATTAGCTTAGTTCAAAAGCTGTTAAGTATGTATGTGTGACGTGTTGAACTCACTGGAGTCTTCCTCACGGATGGGATACTGTGACACTCCTCCCTCCTCCAGCCGCACACACAAAACCTTCCTGTGGGACGCGTTACACTTACACACCAGAAATGTCTGTGGACAAAGAGCATTCATTAACCCTCATTAGATGATGTTGTACATGTTAAATTATTAAATATAACAATAAACTTGATATATAATGGAATAAAACAGAGATTTTGAGAAGTCAGTGTGTTTAACTGAAGTCTAATTGGCTGATTAGTTGCAAATTACACCCATCTTACTGGCCATTGTTATGCAGTCAAAGGTTATACAGAGGTACATCACTGCATGATTACTGTAAATATGACTTTAGATTGTGAATAACAGTGTTAAACATGATGATTTGATTGTAAGTGGCTGTTGGGATTCTCTCACCCCGACTATCTCTCGTTGCAGGATTTGGTGGGCGGAGTCAGGGTTGATTGACAGCTGCAACCATATGGAGTGTGTGAGGAGAAGACGATCCAATACACTCAAACTCCTCTGGAGAGACGCGTCCATCTATAACAAACAGGACAGGAGTCAACAAGAACACAAAAGCTTCACAGAAAGTTCATCATTCACAAAATTCTATTATTAAATGGTATTGGTAACACTTTACAATAAGGCTCTATTTGTTAAAGGGGTCAAATGATGTTGCTAAAAAGAACATTATTTTGTGTATTTGGTGTAATGAAATGTGTTTATGTGGTTTAAGGTTCAAAAAACACATTATTTTCCACATACTGTACATTATTGTTTTTCCTCTATGCCCCGCCTTTCTGAAACGCGTCGATTTTTACAAAGCTCATCGTTCTGAAAAGCGAGGTGTGCTGTGATTGGCCAGCTATCCAGTGCGTTGTGATTGGCCGAATACCTCAAGCGTGTGACGGAAATGTTACGCCCCTTACCATACTGTGATGCCGTGTCCGGCCGGAGCGACGAGACAAAAACATTAAAACTCATTATAAACGAGGCATTTGTTGCATCCAGTGGGGACATAATTACTGATTATAATGACTTATACTGTCTTTTTACACGTTGCGTTGCATCGCGCCGCATAAACATAAAACCATGTCTGCATTTGTGATCGGAGAAACGACAAACAACAAGCGCTACTCTACACTGCTTAAAACTCGCGTTTGAATCATCAGTGGCAAATTCTTGCAACTCTCAATCCGTGAGTCAGAACAGCCGGCATTGTAGTCTACTCTCACAGGATCAGTAAACAGTCCTCCATAAAATGCGTTATGCAAATCTTCCCACACAGTGACATAGACATGTGGGGGCATGTTTAAACGAGGTGTTTTAGGAGGGCGTGGTCGAGTCTTAACTTTTATAAAGAATATCTCTTTGGGTTTGAGACTTTAGTCTTTGCAACTTTAGGGATCTTATCTATTCACAATCAGCTTGTAACACTCCAAAGAGAAAGGAAAACTTGAAATCGCATCATATGACCCCTTTAACTACATTAGTAAACATGAAGTAACAGTGAAAAAATTACAATTACTATATACTTTTTTTTTACCGTATTCAACCTCTAGTGTCTTGTAATCTCTCTAAAAAAGTATCACATTACTTATTCACATTCCAACTCCCATATCAACATCAGATACAAGGATAGACATGAAACTGCTATTTAAATTCTTTCAACTAAATAATATACAATTGCATAAATTATTCTTGAACTGACCAAAGCATTTACAGGGAGAAGGTTACATTAAAAATATACATATGTTAAATTTTGAAGTTAAATCTACTTTTGTTTTATATAGAATTGTTTTATAGTCTATACAGTATTTACTACAATTACATTAGAAGTCTCGGAGGGATTGGCATGGTAATGTACATGACAATGTTAATGTATTTGGTCTTGGCGGAATAGATCTGCTACGCTGCTGCTGCGGCAGAGCAAGTACCGAGACTTGCTACTGCCAATACATCCACAACATGCTGCTGTGAGCATGTAAGAAATATTGCTGCTGCAAATATAACATATATGAAATAACCCCATATAGCATACATGAATCACCTCGTAGCAGATCTATACAGGTGGAGCTGGGGAAGGTGGAGGGTTTCTGAAGCAAGCTGCAACTGCTACGGCAAGCACTAATCATATATTTGAATGTTGAGCAGCGAGCTCATTGGCTACCGATACAGGAGAGAACCAATCAGCTGTGCCATGTGATAATGATGTCATTAGGTCAGATTGAGTTAGACCTATCGGACTGCGCCATCTAGAGTTTCATGCCAGAACTCTGTATTAATGCATTACACCCAATACTGTTTATAATACTAATGCAAATGTGCTCTGCAGTTCTCTTTGTCAAAACCCATCCTGCAGTTTTACCCCCATAAAAACCAGCACAGAAACTGTGGAAAAACTCTGCAGAATCTGTCTGGGCCTACATGAAACACGCAGACAATGAGCCGTGCAGCAGTCACTGCTTCAAATGCTCGCTCTCTCTATATCTCATTGCGATGACACTGTGTGGGCAGCCCGAGAGGATGCTTATGCATAACAGCAGATGGTTGTCATGGCAACAGATGCCTACACGTCCTACCAGGCAGTCCCACTCATCCACAGACACCTACTCACCCCAAACACGCTCGCGCACAAGACAGACTGCGCTTAAAACGGCGAGGAACTCTTGGCAAAGTAGAGAGGATGTTTTTAAATTCCTTGCCCTTTCCCTCTCTAGCGAGCTCTCTGGCACAATCAGGGCTCTCTGCGATATTTTTATCTCGTTTTTATAAATGTGGACGTGGGTTATCTCGCCCACGTCCCCTCCTCAAACACCATCAGACAGGTAGATTCAGCTGCTGTCGGAGTTTTATACGCTTCACAACGACGAAAGTCCAGCGATGACATAAAATAACCATGCAACTGTGTGCAACTGCTGAAACTGTGAGGTTTAGTTTTAGTAATATGATCTGCTTTGGTAAATGTCACGAGCACAATCTACATACATTCGTTTTGCAGCTTTCAAAAAAACCAATGTGCGTGTAATTGCATTCATGCATCGAGCGTCTCAATACAGAGAGGTTTGCCAAGCACACAAACACACAGATATTTGAGTTTGATAATGTTACATCAACAAATTAAATGCGTTGGTTTTCTTTATCGGTCATTCTCAGAAAATGGTGCTATTTGTGCCTGAAAATGTCAGGAATTAATTATCACATCAAATTCTCATATCAGCTTGAATAGAAGATTGATAGTATCACAGTAATTAATTAATTAAAACATGTGTAACATTTGTCTTTCAAAACATGCTTTGTGCTTTAATTTAACTCTATTACAATAACAATGTACTGGGCTTGAATGTTCTGAAAAAAAAAATCTGATGGCTGAGCAAATATCACTGCATCACAACTGCATCATAATTTACAGTCAAAAATCTTGTTCTTTTTGCCAAGAATTGTTTTTTTTTTTTCAGTCAAATATTTATCTATTAATATGTAGTCTCAGGCTGACACATTTAACTCTGTTTTCAAAATAAAATATATTTAAATTCTTTGTACAATAAATACAATACATTATATTAAATATATATATAAAAATATATAGGCTATATAGATGTATTTTTGTGTATTTGGTAATGCATTTTAATATATATATATATAAAATGCATCAGTTTTTACAAAAATATGACAGCACAACTTCAATGTTTTCAACATTTTTAATAATCAGAAATGTTTCTTGAGCAGCAAATCAGCATATTAGAATGATTTCTGAAGGATCATGTGACACTGAAGACTGGAGGAATGATGCTGAAACTTCAGATTTGATCACAAGAATAAATTACATTTTACAATATATTCAAATAGTAACCAGCTATTTTAAATTGTAATAATATTTCACTGTTTTTACTGCATTTTTGAGTTGAGTCATAAACCTTGACATTTCCATCCAGCTTCCAGCTTTTCAAAGTTTAGATACAATAAATCACATTCTCCTCTGGCTAAACGCAGCCTTGACTGGAAATTGTGAGGAAAATGGTTCTACCATATACCAGACGCTCCATTCAGCAGCACAATGCCAGCTATTATATCTCAGTCCTGCTTTGTTTATTCCTTGTGTACGTTGTAGACCTCTAACACCCATCTGAGGTTTATGGAGAGGGTTTATTACATAAACATCACATCACCGGCCCAGATGACTTTACCACCCACAAACGCAAGCACTAAACCACTGCATGAGAATCTGAGAGAACTGATGGGTCAGTAACCTCCATACCGCAAACCCTAACCAGATAACATCCGAGGAGAGACAGATGATGTCCAATTGCAGCGTAGGCCTCCTTACATAAAGCCCAGAGCAGCCTACACACACAGTTATGCAATTAAGCATCACACAGGGAGAAACACAGGAAGAGAAGCAGAGAAAGAATAGGAGAAGAGGGAGGTGAGTTTGATTTCAGCAGTGAGTCGCTTTCTCCTCTTGAAGAACTGTTTTTTTTTTCTTGATGCTATTTTTGAGTCTGAGTTCAGGAAGATTATAATTACGAATCAAAGAAGTCGTGAATTTTTTTTGCTCAGCACTTAAAGGGATAGTTCACCCAAAATGAAAATTTGATGTTTATCTGCTTACCCCCAGGGCATCCAAGATTTAGGTGACTTTGTTTCTTCAGTAGAACACATTTGATGATTTTTAAGTCCAACCGTTGTAGTCTATCAGTCTTATAATGCATGGCAATGGTAACAAAATCTATGAGTGTAAAACAAACATGCACAGACAAATCCAAATTAAACCCTGTGGCTCGTGATGACACATTGATGTCCTAAGACACTAAACGATCGGTTTGTGCCAGAAACCGAACAGTATTTATATAATTTTTTACCTCTAATACACCACTATGTCCAACTGTCTTTGGGTGCGCGCACGGCATCCGGTGCGTGAGGTGTGTACGTGCTCTGGCGTAGTTTACGTTAATGGGTGTGTTGTCGCGGGAGGAGCAAACGACAGACGCAGTTTATTAACAGAAAATAAACAAAGTGTCCAGAGAAAAGGGAATCAAGTGTCCAAAATAAACAGGGGATCTGGTGTCCTCATCGTGCTGCGGGGTTCGTGAAGGGAAGGGCAGTGGTCAGGAAGGATCCAGGTAAGGGGCGGAGTCCGGCGGCTCACATTTTCATTTTTGGGTGAACTATCCCTTTAAAAAGACAGTTTTACGTTTCAATGGCTTTTGAATACTCTTTTTACTTTTTTTAAAGACGTTTTATTGCTCACCGTTTGAGACACTGTTGAGTGACACCTTTTCTTCTCAGGAGAGATATTAAAGAGAACTGATTTGCAATTTTACTTTCCTAGAGGTTCTACACCACAATGATGAGTTTATAATAATGATATGCACAAGCTCATTATTATGTGCATTAAATAGAATGAAGGATTATTGATTTACTACAAAACAGTAGCTGCTATTAAAGCAATATTTCACCCAAAAATTAAAATGTGCTAAAATGTGCTCACCCTCAGGCCATCCAAGATGTAGATGAGTTTTTTTCTTCATCAGATGTGG